ACCAAAACTTGTTTTCTTATAAATTACTCGATAAATTATTAAATTATTAATTATTTAGTATTCCTTGAAGTAATAAAGTTTTCTTAGTATCAAAACCATTCATTTAAAAATATCAAGTTAAAATTGCAATAGGTAATGTGAAAACTAAAATTGCAATTGATAAGAAGAATCCAGATCCTCACCAAATCCTCTTTGTAAGGATCTTGGAGATCCGTGAATTGTGTCAGTTCATTGTACATCGTGCAGTCAAAAATCATTTTGTGTTTAAAAATAGAGAAAATAATATTTAATGAACAACTGATTGAATCACATTATTGCTAGCCCATTGTAAAGCTAAGCTCACATTTTTCCCTTAGTGTAGATAATATCGTTTGTTAAAAAAAAAATCATTTGACAATTAATTTAATTACATTATTATCCGCGTGCGACAGACCTATTTTATAACCAGCATTACAAGCCTCTTAAGATATTTTGAACATGTTTAAAAGTAGAAAAATTGAATCACGTTATTACTAACCTATTCTGAGATACTAATTTTTTTTTTTTAAAAAGCACAAAAAATTAGTTATTAAAAAAAAAACTGTTCAAATAACGAAAATGTCTCTACCTTATTTGATGCATTATTTTGGAATGCCTTTGAAGTTTTTTGTCTTGGGGGCATTTTTGTCCAAATATTTTTGTTGAAGCTTGGTGGCACCAAAAGCACTATTCACTTTTTGTGTTGGCTTTATATATAGAGGTATTCATCAATTTACCCCCTGAACTTGTAAGGATTGACCAATTTCACTCCTCAGCTCTCATAATTAGTCAATTCCCCCCTCCACTCAACTTTAATTTTGGCCAATTTCCCTCCTCAACTCTCATAATTAATCAATTTGCACCCTATTGTTAATTTTTTTTTAATTTTCCATCTATTCTTCCGTTAAAGTAGGTATCCACATGACTGCCTTTGAAAGGCAAAAAAAGTCAATTTGCACTCTACTGTCATTTTCCGTTAAGTAGGTTTCTCAACACCTTACCAGAGGTAGATGAGGCTGAGGGAGGAGGCGACGGGGTGTGGGCAGTTGCAATCAACAAAAGCAGCATATCCAATGGACTAGGCTGCAAACAGCGGACGATGGAGGTGTTGGCGACAGTCACGGGCTCGGCTCGGAGAAAAGGGAAGAAGAAAAGAAAGTTCGAAGAAAAGGAAGAAGATAGAAGGTGTAGGGAAAATGACTTCTTTGCCCTTTAAAGGCAGTCATGCGGATACCTACTTAACAGAAGAATAGATGGAAAATTAAAAAAATTAACAGTAGGGTGCAAATTAACTAATTATGAGAGTTGAGGGGGGAAATTGACTAATTATGAGAGTTGGGGGGAAATTGGTCGATCCTTACAAGTTCAAGAGATAAATTGATGAATACCTCTTTTATATATATATATATATATATATATATATAAAGATATATAAGATGATGATATCGAGAAGAGGATCCTCTTCTAAGCTCAGGATGAGGATCTCCTGATCACGAAATCCGGGTCGTTCAAATTTAATCCAATAGTTGCAATTATGATAACTTTTAGAGGATCCCCTGTTTGGAGCCATTAGATTAAATTTAAATAACCTGGATTTCGTGGTCAGGAGGATCCATATTGATTGATTATACAAAAAAAATTAAATTCTAAATGAAAATGAAGATATAAAAATTTGGGATATTTCCAATATTTCTTTTTCTCTTAGTCCGACTACTCTAAAACCCCTTTGCGTTCCAAGTTAGGGTTTTTGGATAATCCAATTCAGGAAGAGAAATCGCAGGAACCACGATGATTCCCACCGCAATTAAGCTATCAGGCTCTGCCGCCACTGTCGCTCGAACCGCCAAGCTTGGGCCCTCCATACGATCACCGCTGTTCAGACTAGTCCACGGCGGGATCAACGGCTCAAACGCCAACCCTGTTGCTCTTCAGATGATCAACTACGCCCTCTCTCACGCCAGGTCTCAGAAATCAGGTCCTTTTACAATCCGGTCCTCTCATTTTTTGAATTTCCTTTTTTATTAATTTGTTTATAAATATGAAATTGAAATCATATTAATTTGAAATTTGGGTTGTGGGAAGTGTAGATGAATCGTATGCGCAAGGTCTGCTTGTACTGGAACAGTGCCTTTCGACTCAGACGAGTGAAGGGCAAGACTCTGCTGGTGATAATTCAAGGGGAATGGTGTTATTGGCCATGTCCACTTTATCATCTGAAAGGTTTCTTTTTAATCTTCTTGGTGTTTTTCTTTGATTTGCGCACTAGCGATGTTATACTTTAAACTATTTTAAATAGCTGAGAGGGTGATTAGAACTCGGGTGCATAGGGGGCACATCCGCTCTAGCCAAGTTTGCTTGTTTTGGGTGATTAGATAACCTATTTAAGTTATCGGTTTGATGGAATATGAAACTCATATTAATGAAATTCAAATTTTTCAGAGGAAATTTTGATGAAGCAATGGAGAAACTGCAAAAGGTTCAAGATTTAACCAGCTCTTCATTTGGTGTAAGGGGTAAGGTTATTTTATTGTTTTACATTTTTTCTGTATTTATTTTTTAAAGTTTTGCCTTAATAGACTGATCTATTGACTAATAAACCGTATTGGGTTTCGCTAAAGTTGCGGCCTTGGAGGCTCTTGTCGGACTTCACTTAGAGTTAGAGCAGGTAAGTCGACACAAAAGAAAAATGTTTTCTGGTGTTCTTTTATAGCTTGAATATGTACATGATTCTCCCTATATAGGATGATACTTCATCAGTGCTCGCAGATAAATGCTTAGAACTGTTGGTGAAGAATGAGCCTGAATCTAATAGTGGAGATTTTATAAATGCTCGCGCTAGAGCAGTAAAAGGGCTTGTTGAACTTGTCCATGGTAATGCTGCATCAGGTACAGTTGAAAGCTAGCCTTTGGCTATTTATATACATTTGCTTCAACTAGTACACTGCTGAGAGTCAGGAAAGAAAAAGAAATTTCTGAATTTAGGTTCTGTGCAGCTGAGTCGTTCTTTCAAGGACTTAAGGACAACCGGGCAATCACCGGTGACGTTCATCTTTCAAGTCATGATTGTCATCGCGTCTAAGACATATGAGATGATTAACTGATAGCTATTTTAGGTAGTACTGCTTTATCCTATGGAGAATTCTTGCATGCAACACAGAACTTTTCATTGGCGAAGGATGTCTACCAGAATGTTATTCAAGGGGGTTCAAAGAATGAAGAGCTTGGTAACTCAAATGCATTAGCAGCCTGTAATATGTCAGCAGAGGAAGTTTCCTTAGGGGCCATGTGTGCTTTGGGACAACTTGAGGCTCATTTGGGGTAAGTTCCTGACTACTGTTGAGGCTTGAGTCTTTCTCTCTCTCTCTCTCTCTCTCTCTCTCTCTCTCTCTCTCTCTCTCTCTCTTTTTCCTGTTTAGAATGATCGAGAGAATAAATCTTGTTCTTTTAGAAACTTTGCTGATGCGGAGGAGATATTGACTAAGGCTTTAACGATAACAGAGGAACGTTTTGGTGTGTTTCTTTGGCATAACTTTTGTTTCAGAGTGCTGTAGAATTCTCATAATTTTTATCTATTGATATGTTGGCCTCCTTTTGGTTCCTTGATTTTTGTGTAGGTTCTCATCACCCCAGGGTTGGTGTTGTTTTAACCTGCATAGCTCTCATGTTTCGACGTAAAGCAATGCTAGAGCATTCTAGTGCTCTTTTGATTCAAGAGGTTAGAACTTACATATTTCTTTGTCTGCTATATTTCTCAACTTAGGAAGCTTTCATTTTCTTGCTACTATATTCTATGGCTTATTCTTCCCCCTTCCACCCCGAAAAATAAAAATGACAGGGACTTTATAGAAGGGCAATAGAGTTGCTGAAAGCCCCACCATTGGACACAGAAGGTATGTGTTAACTGTGCCATAAATTTCTTCATATGAGAGCGGGTAATAATTGCTTATTGCCCTTTATTGGGTTGTGTAGGTACCGAAGCAAATGTAGATAGAAGTGATATAGTGGCCCTTGCAAGAGGTAATGGCTAAACATCCAAATGTTTCCTCAACATGAGCATACTCAATATTATACCCGAGCAATGACCATTTTTCGAAAATCAGCCTTGATTTGTTAAAACGACTGGGCCTTATTCCATACATGTTAACCAGTTTCCGGTTGCTCAAATCTAAGCAATGTTTCCTGCACCTGACTGGTGTGGCTTATACTGTAAAATGAGTATACATTCAAGTAGAATAGGTCTCTGTCTGGATATTTGGAAACCTGTAATGGCCTATATGGCTGCAGCTGTATGACCTGCTGACTTTTTAATCTAAACATTCTAACCAGTTTATCTGCATTGATATAGTTAATTGATTGTGTAGGCGGGTATGCCGAAGTGCTTTGTGTCCAACAGAACCGAAAGGATCAAGGTGAAAAAGCGAAGGGTTGGGCGGAGGCTGCATGGAGGAACCGCCGGATGTCATTGGCTGAAGCACTGGACATATCTAATACTAGTTCAGCAGTTCCAATTATAGATGCTCGAATCAGCAGGGTCCTGTAATGACGCCATTTCAAAAACTTGCAGTCGCAGTTGGAGGTTTTCTGGTGGTGTACATCACAAAGAATGAGGAGACTTGCTCGCATTCCGTCATATGTCCTTTGCAGGCGTTAAGGATGCAGCAACTAAGAGAAGAATTGGACCAAGCATATCGTTACGCCATGTGACATCATGGCATGAATGTACACCGTTATGTGTACCTATTTTCGGATAATGCAAGAGGTATCTTAGGTGGCCATAGGTGAGATGAACAAGCCCTCGGAAATAGATTTGCCATCGGAGTTGGATACCTTATGCTTATTGTCGAATAAACTTCTGTTGAGTTGACGGAGATTCGACTTCATTTTAATGAGGAACAAGTGTGAGTTTCGACTGACCTAAACCAGAAGCATTGAAGATTTTACGACGTGGATTGACCGGAGATCATGAAGACAACGTCGTCGGGTTGGACGTAAAAAGTGAAGAATATCAGAAGTGTCCTATATTACAAGAGTCAGATCTTCACACAAATTAATTGAGGTACAAAACAGAATTACCCACTTAGATGAATTGCAAAATGCAGATTGGTACAGGTGCTTGTTACAAATAAAGACCTCAACACAGCCAAATTTAACGATCACAGAGGAATATCAAGGCCTTTTCCAATCTCCACTCCGATCAACTGCAGTATTCCCTTGTTCAATATCTGGAAATTATGAAACCAAAATTAAACATATCAGCCAAAAGCGGTCGTTCTACAGTGACGTTAACTGCACTTTTTCGACTGGCTGTAAGGTCGAAGTATCAATACTAGACCATGAAAACCCAAAAGAAGAATTTTACCAGTTCCACAATGAAGGTTCCGATAAGTCCAATCATACAAGCTCTAGAATTCCATATTTCTGCAGTCCTGGTGAATCCAGCTAAAGGGGCCTTAAGTTTTGGCTCTACTTTTGGCACCACCACCTGCAAATTTTGATCCATATTAATGATTAATCCACCTTTTCACAACCATACTTTATGCAAAAAGTTCTAAAAATTCATACAAATTACAACGTCATGAGAGAAAACAAATGAACAAATGGATGGCCTGTTTGGAAAGCGCTTTTAAACTCTCAGATCACCAAAACCGCTTCTGACAATAATTAGAGAAAGAAAAAAAAAACGGTTCATTTCTATTAAAAATATGAACATGCTTGTAATTACAAAAGTGCTTTTTAAAGAAGCATTTCCGGCCAAAGAACGTACCCCAGCAGGAAGTTTGGCAGCTTGAACTCTGAAGGAGCTGGGACGCCTCCTGGGAACTGGGTGGAGTTGCTGGGTTTGAGGATTTGCTGTTAGAACCCTAGTGGGGAGGAGAGAAGATGAAAGTATGGTACATGAAGTTGCCATGTTTTTACTTTCTTTTTTTATTTAATTTAAAAGTGTTGTTTTGGTTGTGATATATGTCATGCTCTCAAGCTATGGCTTCTTTTGCCATCCTTATCTACACAGAACGATTGGCAAATAACTTTCCACGTCCATATAATTCTTTTGTGTTTTGTGGGGTATGAATTGACATCGATTTACGCTGGGACCAACAATGAGTTGTTATGGGTCACATTTCATGAACTATAAGTTATTTAACAGACACACACATATATAATATTCCCATATATATATATATATATATATATATATATATATATATATGTATCTTCTTTACCCATGCCTCTTGATCTTATCATGAGGAGAGGTATTAGGATGATGGCAATGAGAGGACGTAGCAAAACTTAATTATGCTGCGTATCGATGAGAAAATTTAAGATTATTAGAGAATTTTAAAATGATAGAATTTAAAAGAATGAAATTTTATTTTCTAAAAATAGTGAAATTTGTCTTTTGCCCAACTCAATAATACAATGAAATTTAAATGTGGAATTTAATGTATATTTAGAGTCATTGTTATATAAATGAGAGTGGTTAGCTAATGTTCTAGTATTGATGGTGGTAGGTCCTACAACGGTGGTAGGAATGACGGTTGGCAACTTGACATGCATGGTTGAGTTTTTATTTTTTTTTCCTCAAATTTCAAATTTATTTTCTTCATACAAGGTCAAGTTTCAAAAAATTTATTCAATATAGAGAGTATTTTGAGTCCAATAAGTAGCATGTGCGAAAAATGAGGCAATAATGTATAAAGTAGAGAGTCGAAATTTTGAAACCCTTTAGGAAGACAAAATTTCAACTTGATGCTTAGATTTATAAGTTAGCTAATTTAATGTTACTTGGTACTATAATCTAATGATATTCATCTTTACTTAAATATTTATAAGTTAAAAGTCCTAGATTTGACTACTGTGGATTACCAGTGTGATGCTAAATTAAAATGACATGCTCATTGTGTAACTTAGCCCAAATACTCCACCCCTCATAGTCCAGATCCCTTAACCTTTAGGGCACGTTTGTTTGACAAGATTAAGAGGGCTTGGACTGGACTAGACTATAGTCCGACGTTTGGTGTGCATCCGGATTAGCTTTAATGAGCTTAACCCGGACTTGCTTGGACTAACTGCCTCCTTAGCCGTTCTTAACGAGCAACCCTAAAATCGGGCGGATTCGTAAGCCAGAGAAAACCGAGAGATTTTCTGCGTCGTCCCTTCGTCCAGTCGAAGCCCTTCGTCCTCATCTCTACGTTCCCTCAACGTCGTCCTTGCCGTGCTCCCTCATCTTCGTCCTCCTCACCCTCATCTCTACGTCTTCGGATCTCTGCATCTGCTCGCCCTCATTTGTATGGTAAACTTCGATTCTTCTATTAATTTCATGTATTTGTGTTGCAGATGGTAATTTTACTGAGCTTTATTTGATTTTGTTGTTTTGGGTTTGATAATTTTTTAATCATAGAGATCTGCACTTGAATAAATTAGGGTTTTGATATTTAGGTGAAATTGAAATTAGAATTTGGGCTTTTCATAAGATGAGATGGAACTTGGGAATTTAGGATGTCAAAGTTGTAAAACTTGGAAGTCCTACCCACATGTTGTTTTCGATTTTTAAAAATTGGGGTTTCAACAATGGGAGTACTCTGTGCGTGTGTGTGTCTGCGTGTGTGTGTGTGTGTTAGTGTACTCTGTGTGTGTGTGTGTGTGTGTGTGTGTGTGTAATTTATGTGTATGTCATTACCAAAAATCCTCGTCTCCAAGCATACTCTCTCCAAACACCTATTTCACTGTATGTTTTTATCTGCCAAATTAGGATGAATTGATGAGTTAGTGCAGAAGTGTATGTGTGTGTCTGTACTCATTACTCTGTGTGTGTGTGTGTGTAATTTCTGTGTATGTGTGTGTGTGTGTGTTTGTGTGTACTCATTAACGTAGGGGGTGTGTGTGTGTGTTTGTGTACTTTGTGTGTGTGTTTGTGTACTCTCTCTGTGTGTGTACTCTGTGTTTGTGTAATTTCTCTGTGTGTGTGTGTGGTTGTGTACTCATTAACGTGGGGGGGGGTGTGTGTGTGTTTTGTGTGTACTCATTATGTGTTGTGTGTGGTTTGTGTACTGTGTGTGTGTGTGTATGTGTGTACTCATTAATGTGGGGGGGGGGAGCGAGAGAGGGTGAGGCAGGGAAAGAGGTAGGGTTGGTCTAGAATTTTTGTTCCAACTGGAAGTCCTCCCTGCAACAATCTCTCTGCTTATATTCTAATGTTGCGGTTAAGTTTCATTCAAAAGATTAGTGTCCGGTTTGAACTATTTTTGTCCTTACTTAATTGCTCATCTTTTGATCTTGAACTAGAATGGATGTTTTTTATGTGGTCTGTGAGTTTAGTTGGTGTGTTTAGTTGGTGTGTTTCTGTGTGTGTATCTGTGTGTAATTTCTGTGAGTGTGTGTGTGTGTGTGTGTTTGTGTGTACTCATTAACGTGGGGGGTGTGTGTGTGTGTGTGTTTGTGTACTGCCTGTGTGTGTGTGTGTAATTTCTGTGTATGTGTGTGTGTGTACTGTGTGTGTGTCATTTCTGTGTGTGTGTGTTTGTGTACTGCACTGGAAGTGTGTGTGTGTGTGTGTACTGTGTGTGTGTGTGTGTAATTTCTGTGTGTGTATGTGTGTGTTTGTGTGTACTTATTAACGTGGGGGGTGTGTGTGTGTGTGTTTGTGTACTGCCTGTGTGTGTGTAATTTCTGTGTATGTGTGTGTGTACTGTGTGTGTGTACTCTGTGTGTGTTTTTGTGTACTGCCTGTGTGTGTGTGTGTATTGTGTGTGTGTGTCTAATTTCTGTGTATGTGTGTGTGTGTGTACTGTGTGTGTGTGTGTACTGTGTGTGTGTTTGTGTACTGCCTGTGTGTGTGTGTCTAATTTCTGTGTATGTGTGTGTGTGTGTCTAATTTCTGTGTATGTGTGTGTGTGTGTGTGTTTGTGTACTGCACTGGAAGTGTGTGTGTGTGTGTACTGTGTGTGTGTGTGTGTTTGTGTGTACTCATTAACGTGGGGGGTGTGTGTGTGTGTTTGTGTACTGCCTGTGTGTGTGTACTGTATGTGTGTCTAATTTCTATGTGTGTGTGTGTGTACTGTGTGTGTGTGTAATTTCTGTGTGTGTGTGTTTGTGTACTGCCTGTGTGTGTGTGTACTGTGTGTGTATCTAATTTCTGTGTATGTGTGTGTGTGTGTACTGTGTGTGTGTGTTTGTGTACTGCACTGGAAGTGTGTGTGTGTGTACTCTGTGTGTGTGTGTGTTTGTGTGTACTCATTAACGTGGGGGGTGTGTGTGTGTGTTTGTGTACTGCGTGTGTGTGTGTGTACTGTGTGTGTGTGTGTTTGTGTACTGTATATGTGTGTGTGTATATGTGTACTCATTAACGTGGGGGGGGGAGCGAGAGAGGGTAAGGCAGGGAAGGGGGTAGGGTTGGTCTAGAATTTTTGTTCCAACTGGAAGTTCTCCCTGCAACAATCTCTCTGCTTATATTCTAATGTTGCGGTTGAGTTTCACTCAAAAGATTAGTGTCCGGTTTGAACTATTTTGTTTGTCCTTACTTAATTGCTCATCTTTTGATCTTGAACTAGAATGGATGTTTTTTTTGTGGTCTGTGAGTTTAGTTGGTGTGTTTAGTTGGTGTGTTTCTGTGTGTGTGTATCTTTAGTTGGTCTGTGAGTGTGTGTGTATGTGTGTGTGTATCTTTAGTTGGTGTCTGTGTGTGTGTGTGTGTATTCTGCACTGGAAGTGTGTGTGTGTGCTCTGTAAGTGTGTGTGTGTATTTAGTTTATAACCATGATATTACAATGTGAATGTTTTGTATGCTGAACTGCAATATTTTGTGGTTGTTGGTTGCAGAGAAGAGGAGCATAAACGGAAGGATAAGGCTAAGACTACCGCTTCACAGGTGTCATTTAATTTCCCTTTTAACATGCAATGCCTAGCAATTGTGACTTGACTGGTTTTTTTTTTTGTTGATCCAACATTAATTGTGACTTGGCTGTTTAGTTTTTGGGCTGTTAATGCAGTTACTTTTTTCAGAATTCTTTGTATACCGTTTATTTTGATCTAGTTCATTTCGTATCATAATCACTTCATTTCCATCACCCTTAATAACAGTAAATATTACATATATAATGTCCTTATTTAATTTTCCTTTTTTTTTTTGTTTGGATAGATATGGATCGAATGAAGCTTTTATTGATCTTATTGTTAGAGATGTCTCATTTAGAGACAATTTGCATTTGTACGATTCTTGTGGTGATGATGCTAAGGGCCAAACAGAGACATGTTGAACGACCCACTTTGACTAATCGTTCACTTGTTAGACGAGAGATTAGTTTATGTTATCTAAATGGTATAATAGGGAATACTGATATTGAATGTGTCAACGAATTGAGAATGGATAGAAGGACTTTTGCCATATTATGTGACTTACTTCGTCAAGATGGGAGGGTAAAAACTGATGGTTTGGTGTCTGTAGAGGAGCAGGTGTGTATGACTTTACAAATACTAGCACATCATACTAAGAATCGTAGTATTGGCGGTAGATTTTATAGGTCGGGAGAGACTATAAGTAGGTATTTCAATAGCGTATTGCAAGGAATTTTGCGATTACAAGGTATCCTACTAAAAGTCCCTCAGCCTGTGCCTATTGATTCTACAGATCCTAGGTGGCGATGTTTTAAGGTATGATAATTTTTTTTCATTTTCCCTAAGCTTTAACTCTTCATTCCCTTTGTATAAATTAACAAAAGCTTAATTTTTTTTTTTTTTCAGAATTGCTTAGGAGCAATAGATGGAACACACATTGATGTGCATGTACATGAAATTGACAAACCAAGATACCGAACAAGAAAGGGTCGAGTCGCAACTAATGTGTTAGGTGTGTGTTCAGGCGATATGCAGTTCATATATGTGTTTCCGCGTTGGGAGGGTTCCGCATCAGACTCTAGAGTGCTACATGATACAATTACTAGGCCTAATGGTTTTAAGGTACCAACGAGTAAGAGTATTAGTTAGTCTCAACTTTGTAAGTTAGGTTTAGTTTTGTTTGTCAACTACAAAACACTAATAACGTTTTTTTTTATTAGGTTATTATTACCTTGTAGATGGTGGTTATACAAATGGTGAAGGATTCCTTGCACCCTATAGAGGAATACCTTATCATTTATCTGAATGGGAGGGACGAACGCCTTCTAATAAGGAAGAGTATTTTAACATGAAGCATTCTAAGGCAAGGAATTTAATTGAACGTTGTTTTGGCTTGCTAAAAGGAAGGTGGTCGATACTAAGAAGTCCATCTTTCTATCCGATAAGGACACAAGGTCGAATAATTACCGCTTGTTGCCTACTACACAATCTTATTAGGCAAGAGATGTCTGTAGATCCACTGGAAAATTTGCCAATAATACAAGATGGACAAAATACAGAAGAAGGTGAATATGTTGGTAGTGTTGAAACATCTGACCAGTGGACTGCAAAGAGGAATGCCATGGCTCAGGAAATGTATAATGAATGGAGAGCAATTAGGAACCAGCAACCGAACTAGCTATATGTGTTAATGATAACATTTTATTTTAGTATTCCTTTTTATCATGCATTTGTTGGATATTAGCATAATTATTAAATTGCTCATCAGTGAATGTTAAAATTTTTTTATTGATTGGATGATATGCAAATTAATTGGATATTATGCAAATTGATTATTTGTATTGTATTTTAGTACATTCAAATATTTTTTGTTTAGGTATGGATAAAGACAATTTTTGAATGCTAAACTCAAGAGCCAAAAGGAAGAAGGCGTAAATGGGAAGCATTTGAGGAAGAAGTATTACTATCCGTTCTTGAGGATTTTGTTGCTCGGAAGCAACGGTGTGACACCGGTGCTTTCAAACAAGGTACTTTGATTGAAATAGCGAAAGCTGTCAATGTTTTATATCCTCATTCCAATATAAAGGGCAACTCCACATATTGAGTCAAAGTTGAAGAAATGGAAAAAAAACATATAGTATGGTCGTTGACATGATAAACACAAGTGGATTTGCATGGAATGATGTTCAAAAAGTGCGTTGAAGTTGATAGTGATGACGCATGGCAAACTTATGTGCAGGTTCATATCCTATTTTTATTTATACATTAGTTTTGTTCTTGCTGCTTTATTTGTTACACATGCTCAATTTAGTTTTGCTATGTTGATATAATCTTAGAAAAATAAAGAAGCCGATGGATGGAGAAGCAAACCTTTTCCACTGTATGATCGATTCGCATATATATTTGGAAAAGATCGGGCTACAGGTAATGTAGCCGAAACCCCTGCTGAAATGGTGGAGGAACAAAGTCATGATCAAGTTGGTGCAAGTGATATTGGAGGTGAAAATTTTGTTTCTTCAATGAACGAACAAAGCCAACAAAGCATCCCATCTGAAAATAGCCAACGAAAGAGGAAAAGAGGTGTGGGAAGTTCAAGTGATGGAACCGAGGCAATTATCAGTGGACTGAAAGAATTTTATGTTGAAAGTGGGAAGAGGATGCAAATGGTAACTAAAGCTTTAGTTCAAGGTACTGCAGATCATAGTGACATAGCTAACGAACTTGAAGAAATGGGTCTTTCTCCTATGGATCAAATTGATGCATTGTCTCTTATTTTGGATAAACTAAAAAATGTGGGAGTGTTCAGGGCAATCAAACCGGAACTCAAGAAAGTGTTTGTCCAAAGGCTTTTAAGCGACAAAGCAAGCGGATGAGTATATTATGTGGTGTCTTTTGATATGGATGTATTTTATTAATCGTACAATCTTAGGTTATGACTTATAACTTAGCTTTCCACTATGAAGTATTTTGGCTAATGTTAACTAGGAGTTTGTAAATTATGGAGATCTACTTTTTGAATGGTATACTATAGTTCACTGGTATTTTTGTAAATTATGGAGATCTTCTTATGTACTTGCTCTTGCTTGTTAATCTAGTCAGCTATGAATTATGCCACATGGAAAAAGAGACGGCCCCTTATAGCCTGTTTAATTACCATGCTTTTCTATTTTCTTTTCTTTTGAGCAAGGTTTGTTGGGTACACTTGGAGGATTCTTGAAACCAAAGTATTAGTACTCACGTTTCCCCTTCCTTCAAAACCCTACCACCATTGGATCCTAGTCATCTTCACCCAACAGAGAACCAGAACACCATATATCATGCACGTGAAGAACTTAAGTGACATTTTCTATGGCAATTTTACTTGCTTCAGACAAATATCTAATATGAGTTCCGTTTTCTTAAACTCTATAATCCAAGAAAACTATCATTAGTTAATGTTCGATTTTATTGCATAAAGTTTAGGATTACTCTATTACACAAGTATCTTCTCATGACATTTGTAGCATTACTTTATTACACAATGGCAAAAATTTGTAGTCCTAGTGTAAGCAAACACAAATCTGATGAACAGTACTGTTTATTATCCTGCTTCTTAGTCCGACACTGCACCAAACGCTTCACTAAGTTAGTCCAGCTTAGTCTAGTCTAAGCCAGTCCAGCTTAGTCCCTGCAGCTAGTCCAGTCCGAGACAGTCCGGCGCAACAAACGCCCCCTTAGTGTAAATATATCTACCTCGTTTAAATAAAAAAATAGTGTAAATATATCTACCATAATAATCGATATCGGACTTGTTATTCATAAGAGTCGAACTTAAGATTACTAATATATCCCTTGTATTAAAAAAAGATAAAAGATCATCTTGTCTAATTCCTCTTAAAAGCGAAAAAAAAAACTCGATAGATTAGATCAAATTTACTTATTTGGTACGAAGATGAGAATGAATAGGTACAAGAACAAACAAATGACTACAAATATTGGATGTGGGATAATCAATTGATCTTCTTGGTTATCTCATATAGATCGTACCTTCAAATAACATGAACAAGAATGGTACTCATTCCTTTGCAACGTAACACGTAGAACTTCGTTGCCAGAAAACAAAACTGCACGGCTAAAATCGTCAAAATAAAAATGACGAGGGACTATAGTGAAAATAGGTCAAACTATAAGTCCCTTAAAACTAACGAACCTTCCTTTTTTACATCCAGGTTCATCCTCCCGAACCAATTAATTGAATTAATCAACGATTTGCTGCTTCTTTTTCGCCGCTTCAGTTTTTTTATATACCCACAAAAAGCACCCCCCCCCCCCTCTCTCTCCTCCTCTCTGGAACTTGCTGGCCAATTTCTCACAAGCTTTAGGGTTTGTACATGGAACCCTCTGCTTCTTCATCAGCGACGTCCGGCCAATCATCGACGGTTCGTATCTGTCGCTGTAGCTTCTTCAGACGCTGTTGTCGCTGCTACTGTTGCTGTTGCTACACCTAAATTCGGTTGCATCGATAGCATCTCGATACTTTCTGACCAATTTTGACCGGAAATTTTGAGAATTTTGGGGGTTTTTCGTTGGTTATGGGGCTCACGGAGACTCAGCCGGGCCTCTCTCTAGGGTTTAGTTCGCATCAGAGTACGAGCTCGTCGAATTCAATCCAATCCGTTCCGCTGCAATTGCTCGACCAGAAAGGAGATAAGATTAGGGTTGAGAATGGGGATGATCGCGAAGAGGACGAGAAGTTCAATCTCTTGGGGCACTCTATCTGCCTGAAAAGACAGCGGGATGGGTTCGGAGTGAACCCGAACCCGTCAAAGTGCTTGGCGGTTGAATCGGCTGGGCTGGAGGCGAGGCGGGCCGCTGTTCGGTCTTGGGGGAACCAGCCCCTTTCGGTTGCGGACCCGGAGGTCCATGAAATTATGGAGAAGGAAAAACTTCGGCAGTTCAAAGGTATTGAATTGGTTGCTTCTGAGAATTTTGTGTGCAGAGCTGTGATGGAAGCTCTTGGCAGCCACTTGACGAACAAGTACTCCGAGGGTATGCCCGGAGCGAGATACTACACGGGCAATCAGCATATTGATCAGATTGAATTGCTATGTCATGAACGCGCATTGGCAGCTTTTGGTCTTGATCCTGAGAAATGGGGTGTCAATGTCCAGCCTTATTCTTGTACCTCTGCGAATATCGCAGTCTACACCGGTCTTTTGCTCCCAAATGATAGGATTATGGGCTTGGATTCGCCTTCGGGAGGGCATATGAGTCATGGGTATTATACTTCAGGTGGGAAGAAGGTAACGGCTGCCTCGATATTCTTTGATAGTTTCCCTTACAAGGTAAATCCGCAAACAGGGTACATTGATTTTGATAAGCTTGAGGAGAGGGCGGTTGATTATCGTCCCAAGATACTTATTTGCGGTGGTAGCTCATACCCCAGGGAGTGGGATTATGCCAGGTTTAGGCATATTGCAGATAAATGCGGAGCTGTGTTGATGTGTGACATGGCTCATATTAGCGGTCTTGTGGCAGCCAAGGTTTGAAATTTGATATCTTAACTCTCTCCCATTTATTTATTTTGTTAAGTTTCTCAAGTCTGTTAGCTATTTCTATACATGCGCGGCGCTATTATTATTGCTTCATAGCATATATGTCTTGAACTTGTGGGAAGAAGGAGAACGCAAATATTTTGACTGATATACTAAGATATCATATCATGTGGGCCGAAGGAGAATGCCAATCTTCGGAAAGTTCCTAGAGCTGTGATTTGGTGTTTTGTGTGGACCACAATTAGCAAGTTGCTGAATTTGTTACCTGTTTCTGTACATGTGTGATGCTATTATTACTGTTTTATATCAATTTATTCACTAAGCTATAGACTGGCTGAGTGGCTGTTGTAGGAGAGCAGGGTACTTTTAGAGTCCCCTCTCTTACTTGGCAATATAGTGGACCATCTTTTTAATGCTCATAAGTTGAGCTGCAAAATAACAACATGGGCTGCACCATTTTACATTCTTATTGACAAAATGAAATAGATAATGAATTGATTCATAGAGATATATATCACAATCTCTTGGTTCAAAACTGATACCTAAACGGTATTTTATCTTTAAGTATTTTGGTTGAGCTGTTTATTCATAAACAATTGTGTAATAGCATGCAAATAGTTCTTTTGCTGGCTATACAGCGGTCTAGTGGACTTTATGTTGACTTTCTAGCATCATTAGATAACTACAGGATCGAGATATTTATTAGGCCATACTTATATCAGTTGAAAAAAGGTATATCTGCTATATATTTTCCTAGTTGAAAAAAGGTATATCTGCTATATATTTTGTTACTTACCAGCTACTATTCATTACAGGAATGTGCAAGCCCGTTTGATTATTGTGATATTGTTACGTCAACAACGCACAAAAGTCTCCGGGGTCCTAGAGGAGGTATTATTTTTTACAGAAAAGGCACAAAATTAAGGAAGCAAGGTGTACATCATACTGATGAGGGTAGTAACAATTATGATTTAGAGGAAAAGATAAACTTTGCCGTTTTCCCCTCCCTACAAGGAGGTCCTCACAACAATTATATTGCTGCTCTTGCCATCGCCTTAAAACAAGTAGCTACTCCAGAGTATAAAGCATACATGAACCAGGTGAAGAGAAATGCACAGGCCTTGGCTAATGCTTTGTTAAGAAGAAAATGCAGATTGGTGACTGGGGGTACCGATAATCACTTGCTGCTTTGGGATCTGACTGGTCTTGGTATAACAGGTATTATAATGTTAATCAGCCCAATTTACACATGGTGGATTATGAAATTATATTTCCATGTAGAGAACATCTACTGTTTAACTTTCCAGTTCTGTTCTCATTTTAGTCGAATTGGTTTTTTATAGTTAGGTAAAAATCCAAGTTTACATACATGTTCATGTTGGCATTAGATTGTAAGCAAAAACATGCCCAAGGCCGGGCGCTTCCCTCTTAAGGAAGGGGCAGTGTGGTATTCCACGGGAGAGGTTTTATTCCTGGCGCATGTTAGTGCGTTGGGCTCACATTAACAACCCAACTAATTTCTTAAAGAGGTTGCTTTGGGGGCTCCAAAGCCACTCTGCTGCTCTAGTTTATTTGCAGCATTTGCAATCTGTTTGCCCTACATCTTTTCACCTTTTTATCACATGATTGCTTTTATATTCCAAACACAGAAGGTGATTTTCTGTAAGAACAACTTAAATATGTTTTTACAAAGTTCAATGGTGAACTTCTGGTCATTGATAATTTCAAAATAGAGAGAAAGGAAAATGTCTACAGAGCTTCTAGGTTAGAAACACCAACCTGGCAGTTTAGGGTGGTCAAGGCTGCTTAGGGAAGCTACATTTGATGGATCACCGCTTTAAGCAGTTATGTTCTGGGATCCTTAATTACTTTGCATAATTTCTGAAATTGTTGTGGGGACTTGATATCCTCTCACTTTCTGTACAGTTTTAATTATTAGCTAGTTTAATCCCAAATTTGGATGATAGTTGGGGTTCATATCTTTTTCCTACCCTTTCTTTATTTCTTTCACTTTGGTTAAACTTGCAGTCTTGTATAATTTTAATTTCTTAAGGTCTAATTTTGTACTTCACTATCTAACCCTCTTTCCTGTGTACAATTTAAATGTTATAGGTAAGAACTTTGAAAAGGTCTGCGAGTTGGCCGACATCACTCTCAATAAAACTGCTATATTTGGTGATAATGGTGCTCTTTCTCTTCGGGGAGTGAGAATTGGTAAGCAGGCTTTGTCATTTGAATTTGATCTTTTATTTTCTGCCATTTGGCTGCTTGAGTTCTTTTGAAATGTGGACATCAGGATCTAACGGAAGTCCCAATTTTTTTAAAGTCATTTCGTACAGATTGCCTTTTGTCTTTGTTTTTCCTTCTGTCTAGTGATGTAATAAATTACTCAGCCAACTTGCCTCACAGCGCATTTTTCTTTTCATTATTCAATGGTGGAGCAATTTCGTATCTCAGCTTATCTGTTTTCCAAAATATGTTTTGCTGTATTATGTATGGATATTAAGCTTCCTTATGCCTGTTCGTTTTTTCAGGTACTCCTGCTATGACGACAAGAGGTTGTGTGGAGACCGATTTTGAGACAATTGCAGACTTTCTTCTAAGGGCTGCTCAGATCACTGCTTCTGTTCAGAGGGAACATGGAAAATTTCAGAAGATTTTATGCAAGGTCTCCAGAACAACAAAGATATTGTTGAGCTCAGAAATCGGGTTGAAAAATTTGCGTACCAGTTTGAAATGCCAGGATATGATTGATATTCAAACACGTGACATCGTTCTTGTATGTGCAGCTTATTATCTTTGCTTCTGTGGCTTACGCCTTGCTTTCGTGGTAACCATACACGATTCTTATTTTTTGACCGCCTGTTCTGTGTTCTGATTAGTTTCGTGTAAATTACACAGGAATACCAGAAAATATGTTGCCGATTATCAGAAGTAGTCCTTGTCCCACGTCTCTGCCTGACAATTTCTTTGTGGTTTTTGTATAGATTATAGCGAATTTTAATTGTCTACATCTTTGTGAAGGTGTAACTAAAAGTATTGAGTTTGGTCTCTTTTGTTAGCTATTGTTCGTTCATCTAGTTGGAACTTGGAGATGCCGAACCTCTACAGGTCCGTTTGGTTATTCGGGAATCGGAATTTAAAACCATACACCGGTATGGAAGAGGAGTTTTGTTCCCGAGCAGCCTATTGCGGAACAGGGGGCTTCTTGTTAATGTAACGAAAGTTTATGTGCAGCATTTTACTCTTTTATGTACCCTACATTTATCTGGTCGTATTCAACATTCTGCAGTTGTATCATGCCTTGTGTGAAAGAAGCGGGAATCTCAAGCAGTACCTTTCTTTCAAGGACAGCCTTTATTTTTTCCTTCTTGCAAAGGTCCAAAGGATCATAATAATTGCATGTGTGTTTAGGCCAATTGATGAGGATAATGGGCCTGTCTCTTTGCAGTCAAATTTTCATTCTCTTTTTGTAAATTGGAGTGGTTTAATATAGAGAGTTTTAACGAAAAGTCCGCGGTACTGATTTAAACGAAAAATCATATTTTTACACTAAAAAGTCAATCCTGGTATTATTTATTTTACCTTTTATTTTGTTCTTATCGTTAAATTTAAAGTTTTCAAGTCCTTTTAATATATTGTCGTCATGTAAAAGAAAAAGGTTCATTGTAATTGATGGTGTGTTTTTGGTTGTTTGCTTTCCCCAATTTTTAATTGATTTTACTTACTATGGACTCCTTCAAGGGAGGCAAGACATGAATTTCCGGCAAGGGACAAAAAGCATGGGATACGGTTATGTCACTTGTTGTATACAATTATATTTCTATCCTCAGTTACTACGAGACTAACTGATCGTTTGGAAGTCTTTCTCGCGAAAGAGTTATGACACCCAATATCAAAATCTTGAGCTTTGACAAAATTAACCCCTAAATCTTAGACTCAAAGAATTATACGAGAGAATACGTGATTTAGTTTATATAATTATGTGTCTATCGACTAATCGGTGATTGGCAAGTTTTTCTTGTAATGTGGTTGGTTTGAAAGGTTAAAAAGGGACGTGTAGGAAGAAGAATGGTCATGTAGTAAAATGAATAGTTATGAACCTTGTAGACCATCCCCATGGGGTAGTGAAGGGAGGCCCCAATTACTAGAAAAAAAACAAAGAAAAAAAAACCGCAACCTCTTGGGGTTATCCTACACTAGGAAGAAGAAGGATTTTAAACGAATGGAATTAGGATATATATGAAATATAATGAAATAAAGCCGTTCCGAGATTTCCTTTGAAATGAAGCATAGATCGAGCACTACAAAGAAGTTCCGGTGGTTACAAAGGAAACCTGAAGCTCATATAAGTTATCAGAATGTTATGAGAAGGTTTCATCATGAGCACCATTGCCTTCAAAGTGAACCGAATCAGATAAAAGCTTCTTAATTATGATCAAAAGAAGGGGCTTTTTTGACCTTAAAGCAACCAAAGAATCAGACTACGGTCTTAAGCTTTCCTTTTTCATCATTCCTTCACAACAGGAATCATTACTCATTTACTAAAACAACTAACCACCAACTCTCGTACTTCATGAAAGCGATTTTTCTTGATTACCTACAAGCACTAAGAGCCAGTATTTTTTCAACCGTTGGATCGGGTCCGACTGTTATTGATCTTTAAATTTAAGTTGCTAGATCAACTCTAACGATCAATTGCGAAACGACACTCAATATTTGTTGGTACCTGAAAAAAAAGAAGATATTTTCATGAAAGGCACCAACAATTACAAGAGAGAAATCTTTTCAAAAGAATCATACACCCTGATAATTAATATTTCCTTTTCTTTGTTTTTTATATCAGCTAAAAAGTTTGCATAAATAGGATTTTGATTGTGCCCTCAAGTCTAAAAGATAATGACAATAAGCTTCCAATCCATTCTTTTTCATCTTTTCGTTCACCCAATCCTTTTTTACTTTCACTTTTTCTTCTTTTTGTGTTCTTGTAATTAATATTTGAAGAAAAATAGTCCTCAATTGGATTAAGCACTAGGTCTTCTCAACCCATAATTGCATTTCTTTATTTTTTTTATACTGACGGTTTTTTTAATACTAGCGAAATTCTAATTTTGATGTATATCATGAAAAAGAGAGATTTGAATCTGAAACGTAATAATTTAAAGCTAAAATTCCTACTAGACAATTCCTCACTTGCAAAAAAATACTAAATACAATAAAAGCTATTCTTGGATTCAACTATAATAACTAATAATGAACAATGTTTTACAAGTCGACGTTCAAAGTTGCTCTAAAACACTTTAATCTAGAGAAAAGTCACATATTTGCAACTAGTAACTTTTTCTTGTTTTTTTTCGATTTGAGGATATTCGATCATAATTTTGTCTAAATTATAAAAAGAAGATATTCAAATTTGAGCGTAAAAAAAAGAACCCGATGTTACAACAAACTTATCTACGCCCAGTTGAACTAGTAACTAGTGTTCAACTAGTAACTACTGGAACAAAATAGAAGACACGAGAGAGAAAGTGACAAGTAAGAAAAGACATTTTTCTTCGAAAGTAAAATTTTCTTTTCCAATAAGTTTTTTTAACTCAACACTATTGGGTTTTTTTTTTTTTTTTTTTTTACCTATGACTGCAAAAGTCCAAGAGCTTCTTCCTCCCCTCAACAATTTCATCAAACAAATCATCAAGTTGGCTCACAATATTCTCAGAACCAGAATTCAACACCCCAAAACACTCTCTCAAATTCTCCACTCTCTCTCCAATCCCACTCTCACTCTCCCAATCCATCACTCCCTGCTGTGGGCTCCTCCTCTCTTCCAGTTTACCTCTCAGCTCCTCCATCGCCGCCTTTGACCGCCTGAACTCCCACATCAGAATCCCAGGCCTCTCGCTCATCTGCCCGATCTCCGCCGCCACCCGCTGCTGCAGTCTGGCCGTTGATATCATGAACGGTGATCCGAAGATCAAGCAACCTTCGTAGTCGTAGTCTCCTTCCTTGCAAAAGGTTGAGTCCTCTAGCGAGCAGAAGACCAGTCCGTACAGCAAGATCATGAGAAGCAGAGAGCTCACGTTTCTCATTGCGTACAGGACTCCCCTGAATCCGCTGAACCCATTAAGCTTCGATTCGACGGCGACCCTTTCGTCGAATTTCAGTGAGAGTGGTTGGATTCTCGTCTCCATCAGCGCTCTGTTCTCTTCCTCCAATCCAAACGCCTCCCGTCGGCACCGAGAAATCGTGCGCACCACCTGTTCGAAATGACAGAACTGATAAGTCACCCAAAAATTGATCTAAATTTTGAAAGAAGTTTAAAGATTGTGATCAGAATTGAAGACCCACCTGGCGGGAGAGCTGAGGATTGAGATGGTGGTGAGAGTCGAGGAGAGTGGAGGTGATGGTGAGGCCGGAAGTATAATAATTCTCCATGGCGGAGACGGCGGACTTGAGGACATGGCAGGCTTCCCAAAGCTTGGAGCTTTCGTCCATGTACTCGTCAAGCCACTTGTCCCCAACAGGCAGATGGAGCTTTTGGACGAGAAGGGTCAGCTGGGAGTGGAAAGATCGAAGAAGGGTAAGAGACCTTTGGAGGAATTGGATTGACATGAAGTTGTTCGAAAGATAGACCCTTTCGAGATCGTCCATCCCACGAGCCAGAAAGGAGTAGAAGCCATTGACAGAGTTGGTGGGGGAAGGATCATCCATTTTTTAGTTTGTTTTCTTCAATTCTTTTGGTGCGGAGTAAAAAGAGAGGGTGGTATTTGAATTTAAACGATGAGATGAGGAAGGAGTTGAGGTATGAAATGGGATTGTGGGAAGGAGGGAGAATCTTAGAAGAAGAAGAAGCTCAGGTTTCTAAGGTTGAAAACGATTGTTATTGTTGGGAGCAATGATGGGTGTTTCCTAAGGAGGGGAAAAGGATGAATGGTAATATGCCGTTTTCATCGTTTAAGCTTTTAATGGGATGAAACGATGTGTGAAAAATTAAAAATTAGCCTAAAAAAAACCCAAAAAGGTAATGTAATGTGTATTTGTGGATTGAGAGAGAGACGTATACAACGAGCAAGAAATTTTCATTAGCTTTTATACGCATAAAAGGAGGTGGAGGAGGAAATATTCAGTAGGACGGTCTAAACACGTCATATGTATGATAGCTCTTACAAGCAAGCAAGACTCATTGCATTTGAGTTCTACTCGGCCTCACTCTGGTCCCACACGTTGTTTTACGAAATAGAGGGTGTTAAGTAGGGTTATTACTTACATAAAACTTATTTATTGCTATCGTGACGATTTAGTTTAATAATAAATTGTGGTGTAAAGAGAAACTTAGACATGATATTGCATTATTGAATCAGGATGCCATATGGATGTTAACCCATCCCATATAAATCTTTTGCACGAAGTAGAGAGACAAGGGGGCATGTGGGTATGCTTACGAATTGAGAAATGAGTTTTGCATATCTATTTTTTTTTTCTTATGACTATCTTAGTTTATTTCTATCTCATAATTCATCTTTAATATATTTAATTTCAATGTAAAAGTTAAACAGAAATGTGTAAAAGAAGAAAATAAACGCGCTTTACAAATTTGATTGGAATGAGGTTATTGGGTTGTAAAGTGTTTCTAATTCTACTTGTACAACTTCTAGTCCTTCCAATACTCTTGATTTGATGTTCTTTGGCTTCTTCCTTCCTACTTTTCTTCCTCGAGCTACTGATTTGGCTCCTTAATCCCCCCTCCCCTCTATCCCATTGAAATCTGTGGGTTTCGTTTTTCCTAGATACTTCTTGTTTTGTTGATTTTTTTTTCTGAGCTACTGATTTGGCTCCTTAATCCTCCCCCCCCCCCTCCCCTCCCCTCTATTCCATTGAAATCTGTGGGTTTCGTTTTTCCTAGATACCTCTTGTTTTGTTGATTTTTTTTTTTTTTTTTTTTTTGACAAAGGAGGGGGACTTTCTTGACCTGGAAATGGAATGATGAGGTTCCTTCCCTTGTATATGTCGTAATTGTAATTGTCTTGTAATTTGTAAACCCTTCTTACCATGCATAAATACTCAGTCTTTTTAGGCGACATTTACCTTTAATATATAGTTTCTGTTAATCGTTTTTCTTTGGGGACAAAAATTGATGATGCTTCTTCATGATTCATGCCCCATTAATTAAATCCCAGCCGTTTATTTGGCACTCCTTTAGGACCTGTCCAATGGCTGAGAATGTAAATCTTAGTTTGAAATGATCAAACTGCATGGGTGCTGCAGTCCCCTCGAAAGATTGTTTGTACACCACTTGCCATATGTTATCATCTACATATATTATAATACGCATATTTTTGCAATATTTATGAAATTCAAACTTAATTCCACATTTTTTCAAAAATAAAACTATCACTACTTTTTATTTTGCAGCTCGATTTTGCTCCACTTGTATTCACTCTATTCTTTTAAATTTGCTGAAGTGGCTTCCACGTGGTAGAAATGAGATGGGTATTTCGGTCAAACTGTCTCAATTATTTATTAATTAAAAAAAATGAAAAAATAAAAAACCAAAATCCCCATCTTCTAACTGTGGCTTCTGGGTTTGTTCATATGCGAGGGTTTTTTTTTTATTTTTTTATTATTTTTTTAATCGAGATAAAGATTCATACATAAGATATCAAGGACTCAAACTATGAAATAAGATCCCAAAATAGTAAATCATATCTCAAAGTTCTTAAGTTTCTTAGGAAGTGCAAACAGCAAGGTTTGGATACATATCTCATATGCTAGCTTTTAATTTGTAGTTTAAATTTCTGGAGTTTGGGTGGAAGCAACATTAAAATCAATGTTAAGATGATATGTGAATTGGCGGGGAGGCAGGATGAGTGGTGAGGACAATGGCATCAAGCGGTTTATTTCCTGGAATTTCGAGAACGTATCGAATGCATTCGTCTTCTTCCTCCGTCGCTGCTGCATCATCATGTTTAGCTTGGAAGAGTCAACAAAGAGAGCTTATGGAGACTATCATCTCCAATCCTGCATTGGAGAAGTGGAGTATTTTTGCTCACCATCATAATTCTGATGTATGCTCACCATCAGAATTCTGATGTATGCTCATCATATATCTCATCGTTTGATATGTGTCATTTCAACTAATTATGGTTAATTTTAATATTAAATGTTCATTTTCTAATTTTGAAAAAAAATTAACTATTATTAAATGAAAAGATACGTATAAAATAAAAATGTATATAATGAACATACACGATATACTATAATTTATAGTAATGAACAAAAATATGCTCTAGACAAGCCGACACGTTGATGTTGTGTACATGGAAAAGGACCATGTGACAGCTTCTGAATGATAGACAAAATACCGCCAAAATGGAGTAAAATTTCAACGTGTAAAGTGAAAAGTTAGATCAAGTTCAAGTTGGCACTACAATAAATAAATAACTACAATAAATAAGTAATTGTAATATGCGAAGTTTCGCTTTTTATTCGGATACAGATAAAAATTTCTCTCAATCTACGGCTATAAATATGTTTAAAGTTGTGAGGTATATGTTTGTTTATCTTTTACAAAGCACTACGAAAGTTCCTTTAAATTTAATAGTAATTTCATATTTATTTATTTATTTATTTATAATGGGGTTCTTTCTTGATGTGGGGAGGGGGGACCAGGAAATCTAAAATTATGTTGGGGTATATGACAGTTTACTTTGATTTTATTTTATTCGGGTTCTCGTGTGTTTTTGGAAACAAAAAAACGAGGATGTTGGTCTTTTGAGATTTCATTGGAAGTGAAGTAGAAGCTTAGGACCAGTGCTCAAGGGAATTGTTATGGGTGTACGTACCTACATTTTTTTAGGGTAAAAGTCGTGACATATGATATAATGTTTATCCATTCAATTTTTCTACTATTGAAATTAAAACACATATTTATTTTTATTATATAATGTATAAGTGAGACATATCAAATATGTCCCCTACACATAATATAACATATAAAATAATTATACCACGTGATGGTGCTACCAGAATTAATTATACCACATGATGGTGCTATCAGTACACACAAAATTTTCTCTAATTTTCTTACTAACGTTTTTCTTCTTAGTTTTTCTACGTCATTAATTGAAGAGCATATTCACCTCACATTAAGGTCAAATTAAGCATAAGATCCTGAGCCCTAAGTTAGTAGGGCCCTAAGCCCAGTGGCGGAGCCAGAAATTCATGTTAGAAAGGGCACACTTTAGATCAAATATATACAAACTATCTCGTTCTTTTGGTCGCTTTGGTATCAAATTCAAAGGTGAGAGTGATCATGCGTTTATTCTTCATTATACATAGTCAACTATACCAAGAGTTGAAAATAAAACATTATTAAAAGCACATCCATTTATTCTTCAGTCTTGATAACAAATTCAAAGGTAACTGACCATGCTTTTATTTTTTCTCATACTGACCAAGAGAACATTTTTCTAAAAACATTAAGGCATGAGAGCATTTGAAGGGTTTTTTGTGCTAATTTGAAAAAAAAGAAATATTTTTCTCTTCTTGATTTCATATATAATATAATAGAGAAAATGAGAAATTAACCAAAATAATAGTCTGCAAGCAAAGAGAAAAATTGTATATAGGTAAGAAATAGAGAATATGATCAACTAATATTAGTCTAGAACTATAGTTTCAAACCTTTAATATAAAAAATTTAAAGCTTTGTATTTATTGGATTGAAATTAATTCGACTAACCAATACAATTACAACTTCAAGTTGATAGTGGTAATTAGTGATAGTAGAGGTTGTCATGAAAAATAATTTGAGAATAGACCCGAGCTTACCCTAGTTTTAGGGTGGCTCCGCCACTGCCTAAGCCATCGGGTTATAAGAGCCCTACACCCTCAGGTTAGTTGGTCATGTCCCACCCCCAACGGACGGGTAAAAAATCACCTTGTAAATGACGACTTTGAACCTTGGAAAGTTTTGAGGATATTTCCGAATTTCATTTTTGTTCGTATTTTGCTTCAAATTGATGCTGACATTGTTTTACACGCTTTTATTTTAAGGATTATTTTATTCTACGTTAAACTTTATTTGTTAGAGCAACTAATATATTTTCATGTAATCTCTAGTTGATGTTTAAAATTTGTATTTCTTTTATTACAACGGCAAAATTTTATTGTTTGATGTTTTGTTGCCCCCTTTAATACATATATCTTATTTTCAACACATTTTGTTGAAGAATCACAGTATGAGCTTTAAGTTTGGCATAACAAATTCAACAAACTTAAACTTTATTAAACTTCATGGGTTACCAACTTAGTGCAAATTTCGATTACTAAGGGGCAGGAGAAGAAATCCTGACTGATAGTACAAATTGTGATTTTAATTTCCAAATTATTTTTCTTGAGAAACTCAGTTTGACAGTGAACGCCATGAGACTGGAATTTATTTATTTTCCTGGTCAAGCCAATAGTAGTAGTTGAACTGTTCACTTACTGAATCCAATCCCATAGATGTTGTACCCCATACTCGCCATTATAGCTAGGCCTGCATATTGCCAACTGAGCCGGTTGTTATAGTTGGGAAAACATATATAGCCTTCTTTATTTCGATCAAGTTTCGGAAGAGAGTGATTTCAGAATTTTTCATGTTCAGCATACTCGTTCAGAACTCATCTTTCTCAAAATTATAAGTAAAAATAAAAGGACAACAAAAACCCAGCTCCATCAGATGTATTTAGAAAGTTTCTATTCTTTGCCAACCAAACAAAAGGAAGAATCCAGATATTGCCAAGTTAAATAAGGGTAGGTTTTGGATTTAGGTTATGGTGGGTGGGGTGAGGGGTTGCTTGATTATTAACGGTTAAACATGAACAACGGTTAAACATGAACTTTTCCTTAGAAAGTAGAAGAAAAAGAATCACAAAGAAATAAGTAGAAAACATATGGTAGAGAAATATCTGCAGATGAAAAAATAAAAATAAAAAATTAGGGTTTGACACCTCATTTGAGGTGAAAGCAAAAGCACTTGATGTTAGATTTGTCAAGCAGCATCCCTTTCATCCCCATCATGATAAATACCAAT